AAAAAAAAAAAGAAGAAAATAATTTATAATCTATCAAGGGGTCACTAGGGTGGGGGTCGGGGAAGAGAAGCTGATACCAAGGACTCAATAGAAAGTAACTGTCTAGTAAAGAATGGCAACATGTCTGACACACTGATGTATGGATTGTAATAAGCATTGTAAAAGCCCTCAATAAAATGGAGGGGGGAGGGTTTCAAGGGACCAGGGTCCAGAGTCATCTCAGATCCAGTTCTATGCGTTAAGCCTGGAGAGGCTGCATGTCTGCATTCGTAATTAATGCATATTCAGACATCATTGCTGGTTTTCCGCCCTCCCACGTGGTAAGGCTACATTTTCCTCAGAATATTCCTTTGATCTGTTTCAACAGCTGCTTCTTGGTCTATGTCCAGGCTCCACATTAGCACACCAAGTGTTATGGCATTTGCATACTTCACAATGCTAACCATATTTTGATATGATTGACAGCCAGGTATCCTTGCATAGTCAATAAAACACAAGTAAACATCTCAAAACTAAACTTTTTAGTGGCTGAAAATACTATATTTCTAATCTGCTTGGCAGGGGAGTTTGGTGCTAACTTGGCAGGGCCGGAATGACTGGGTGAGCCAGGCATTTCTTTCTCTCCAGTTTCTTCAATAGACTAATTTGATTCCTTTACGTAAATGGCTCGTGGCTCCAAGAGTAAATGTTCAAAGAGGGCAAGTGACAACGGACTGATGATTTTCAAGCTTCGGTTTAATAACATCCAAAGGGTCAAATCATATCAGCCCAATGTAAATACCAGGTGTGGTTCATTTGGGGCCACCAGTATTAACAGTTACTCAAGCCAGTGACTGTAAGGCAGATAATTGGTCATTCTAAAATAAAACTTATTTAAATCATTCACCTAGGATTACATTTCTGCTAAATGGGGAGAGGAGAGTATAAATTCATGCAATAAATCTTGTATACTGCTGTAAATTCAATAATTATGGCATCTTTACTATGCCTCCTTGCCTGCTACTTATCTTCAAACTTTCTTCCCTAACTCCTTCTCTTTCCATATCTTCAGTAGCCAATTGCAGTCACTTTGAATATTCATGTTCAACTGATAATAGTGCAGGTAATGGGAATTAGTAGTAGAGATCAGATGAATATACTGCATGCTCCAGAACTCCATACATTTCAGATAAAATAATGTCCTTTTGTGAATGTGGAGGGTGTAAAAGTCCTCTGGGATACTCATCTTCAGAACTTTTATGAGAGATGGCAACAACTTAATAATAAATCGGTGACCCATAGTAAACCCACTCACTTCTCTAAGCTTGCTGTATTTTCTCTCTTCTTTTCCTGAGACGTCATCCGTGGCTGATCCAAAGAATTAAGTCACGAGGAAACTATGAAAGATCTCCTAGAAGTGTACTGTGGTAGTTAATTTCAAGTCAGCTTGATAAAGGGGTGCAGGTTAGCCTGTCAATCAGGTCACATCCAGATGATGTCTCCTGGTGGGCGTGGCCTTCTCATGAGGATTATGGGAACTTCCTCTCTTTCTTCCTGGAGGAGGTCCACACACTCTGTTTCACCTTCCTGTGGGCAGGCCACGTGGAGCCATGCTGAGACCTGAGCGAGGGATGTGGCTGAGGCCTGCTCCAGCGCTGAGATGTTTCCACCAGCATTGGATCCACAAGGCTTTTTACCCACGGACCTGTGATTTTCCTGCATTCAGCATCATTGTATGTGCTGTGTGAGTCTGAATAGTGATTTACAGATTTACTGGACTTATGGGCTAATATTGGACTTATGGGCTTGAGCTGGACTGGGCTGGGATGTTTTCTCAATATACAATTGCTCTTTTGATATAAAGCTTTCTCTTACACAGATATGAGTGTCTACTGACCAGTCTTACACATGTACAAAACTGATGATATCCAGAAATTGCTTTCAATATCCACTGAGACTTAAGACATTTATTTAAAATAGCCATTTTTTAATATTATTACATCTTAACATTTATTAAAAACTAAAGCATCTTTAAGAATTTTTCAAAGTCCTGTACTGAAGCTTTGGCAATATTCTCACAAAATGTTTCATTAGGAATAGATACTAACTTGTCCAAAGAAATGTAGTTGGGTTTTGCTGGGTCATACTGTGCTCTTCCCAAGTAGTTAAGAAACAAATGTCTTTCTTTGATTTTAAACACTCTTGTGTTAAATACCTAGAAGGAAAACAAAACAGAACAAAAAAACTCCTTTAAGATATTGTGTTCTAGATGGCGAAACATTAAAAAGCTTATTTTCACTTACTTTAATAGGTTAAGGAATTTTAAAGTATTGACTACAAACTCAATACAGATAAGTACTATTGAGTTTATTTATTATTGAATCATTTTACTGGGAGCTCTTACAAATATCATAACATTCTATAGATCAATCACATCAAGCATTACTGTACAATTGCTAATGCAATCAGTTTCAAAACATTTTTCTTTTTGAACTCTTATATCAGCTACCCTTTATCCCTTCCCTCCTCCACCCTACCCTATAGCTCCAACTAAGAAATTATGATTAAAAAGGGCACAAAATGAACAGAAGAATTACAAAATAGTCAAAGGCACTGGTGACAAAAAATATTGACTACTTTAGGCTCAACCCCACGGTCATTGGGTTGATTCGGATTCATTGCAACCCTAAAGGATAGAGCAGAACTGCCCCCTAAGAGTCTGAGATGTTTATATCATTACAGGTGCAGACAGCCCTGTCTCTCTTCCAAGAGGGACTGGTTGGTTTGAACTGCTGACCATGTGGTTAGCAACTCAATGAGTAACCCACTCAGTGGGGAATCTATCCCAGACCAACTTCATCGGACACTTTGCGAGTAGGGCTCAGAAACCCAGAAACCTTTTTATCAAGGCCTCCCGATGATTCTGATGCCTGCCAAGTGTGAGAAGCACTGTCAGGCATCAAGGTTTAGGCCATAACAAAAATTTTTTTTCATAATTCTCTTGTTTTTTAAAAATTCCTGCTGCTACTCTGGACTAGAATCAAAATTAAGTCAACCTGTTAAATTTCACAGGAAATAAGAGTGAGTGCTGGCAACATTTAACTTCTCCTGGCTGTATTATAAACCCATTAGGAACATTAGCAAGGGCATAGAGCTTGAGGGCTTCTTCCTCCATGTTCAAATGGAAAGAAAATAATTACAGAGCTCTTGGAAAGGGTAATAGGAAAAAAGGATGGCCAGAAAACTAAAGTACCGTACTATCAGAATGAAAAGCCAACCACAGAGCAATGAATGCACAAATGTGCTTGACACAATTGATGTACATATGGACTGTGATAAGAGTTGTATGGGCCCCCAATAAAATGATTTTTTTTAAATAAAAAAAAACTATAAAAAAACAAAAGAAAAGCCAACCCACACCCAGTGCCATCAAGTCAATCCCGACTCCCAGCAATGCTACAGGGCAGAGGAGTTTCTGGGACTCCCTCTTTTCCGGAGCAAGCAGTCTTTTTGAGGAGTGGATGATGGGTTTGAACTGCTGATCTTATTATGGTCAGTATACCAATGCCTAACTCATAGTGCCACCAGGGATCTTTCTTTGAGAACAGTGACTAAAAAAAAAAAAAAAAAAGTATAGTTTGTGAACCTAATCTGGGTTGGGTGGCTTTTTGAACAATTAAAAAATCCCTCCTTTCTCTGTTTCTGCAAAAACAAATTGCATGCTGTGATGAATCAAATTGTGTCTCCTCAATAAAAAATGTGTCCCCTTAGTGTGAAAGTTAGGTTTATCGTGGCAACCTGGCCAATAAGAACATGTGGGATTAATCAGGTCGCAGTTTGATTGGAGGGCAAAGAGATACATGTCCTCTGTAAAGTTTGTCCCCCGCCCCTGCGCCCCCTGCTGGTGATCAGAGTGTGCTGGAGCTTTCCTGCTACTGCTGGAGCTAGTTCTCTGCCCTGTGGGCCAGGCCAAGGCCAGCCAGTGGACCATGTCACTAGAGGCTCCTTTGACGTGCATCGCTTGAGCTTGAGGCTGTCGCCTTGCATTGGTTGGGTTAGATATCCCATCTGGCCTGCTTTCAGCCTGCTTAGATAAGCTCCCAAGCTACTGACTGTTGGTGACCCACGCTGCTGCTGTTGCCTGTGGGCAGACTCTGCTTGCCTTGCTCCAGGGAGGACACTGCCGTCTACTTCCTTGATCTTGGACTCTGCAGCCCATGTAAGCTGAAGGACTTCTAGTATATGCACTGTTCCACAAAAGTGAGTTGAACTGAACCCTCTGTACTGCAGTGTGGCCTAATTAGCTGTTATCTTTCTTCTCACTTTGATATACATAATTAATTATGTGTCCTGATTTTGTTTCTCTAGAGAATCCTGCCTAACACACTTAGACACAGTATCTGATTATCCTCCATTTTGTGACCTGATATAATTATTCTGTGTTATAAATCCTAACCTCTGTGATGTTAATGAGAGGATTATGGCCAGTATGCTAATGAGTCAGGACATATTGCATAGGATTAAGTTGTCCATTTTTTGGGATTAGGTTTTCTCAAGTCAATCTTTTTGGGGATATTGTGGTAGTTACATAATTTCATGTCAACTTGACAAATAAGTGTGGAGTCCAGCCTGTCAGGGGGCACGCTGATGATGCCTCCTTGTGGGTGTGGCCTTTTTACGAGGATTCTGGGAACTTCCTCTTAGCCCAAATGCTCAGTCTCCACTCCTGTCACATTACCTCCTTTCTCCCTATCTGCATCAATACTTTAACTGAAGACCAAAAAAGTCATGCTTGGTTTATGGATGGCTCAGCATGATATGCAGGTGCCACTCATAAGTAGAAAGCAGCAGCACTACAGCCCCTTTCTGGGATTTCCCTAAAGGACAGTGGTGAAGGGAAATCTTCCCAATGG